CTAAACACAATCTGCCCTACTGAGTTCATCCCTCGTGGGAGGTGGGGGGGGAGCTACACACTTAAAGCAAAGGTCAGTCTTCTGCTTAAGGTCTAGCATTCCCGAGTAAAACACCGTAATTTTGTCCTCACAGATAAACTATTGACTAAACAATTACTTCCCTTATATTAGTGCCTAAGTTCCCTAGCCCACGAAGGCGAGACATTGAGTTCTGCACTTCACGCCCTTTTGAGGTGTCTGAGAACGCTTTGTCCGTGGGAAGACTATTCTGCGATCGGGATGGTACAGGTAACAGTTCTTCAGCTATGAACAGTAGCCTATCAAAATTCATCAGCACGGAAAGTAGCGAAAAAACGCTAGGAACACCCTGAGCGCAGACCCCCCTAGCAGAAAAGCCGCGCCTTGCATGCGTTTATCAATGGAGGACCCAATCGCAGGATTCTAGATGCCAACCAATTCCCGGCCAAGATCATAGAAACTAGTTCGGTCCGACGCTCCAGGCAACGCTGTACACACACGCAATTCCGGTTACAAAACTCATACGTCTCTAGCTTTGTTCGTCTCGTCTCTAGCTCGCCATTCCGAGGGATGAAAGCGGCATATTCCCTGCGAGTGGGGACAACAATTCCAAATGCAAGGGAAGATATTGCTGATCACTTGATCGCGGAAGTGTCTTTGAATACATTGGGAGGTGTCTGTAGCGGAACACCCTAAGAGGAACAGTCCACATTCATTGTATAGGCGGAGTCAGACCCACCATCGTAAGTCTCTCTCTCTGGCTTGTGGTGAATCCCTGTACAGCTCTGAACAGCTTCGCGCTAATGAGGAATGATGAGGTATACTTGATTCTTCGTCAGAGTTATCACGCAGTGCGTTCTATGGCTCCTCCGAATGCGTTCCCTTCAATGGCTGCATTAAGCCTTGCATTTTCATAATTTCGCTTATTTTATCCTCAGCGAAATTCCGCGAAAGTATCTCATTTTTTTGCAATTTTTTTTTGCATTTTGTATATTTCATGGATAATAATCTGCTGCACGACTGCTTTCCTCTCACGTATACATTCAATTATCAGAAGTAACCGTTGTTTGGTGGGAGGAAAGGGCGTTTTCCAATTCCAATTTTCATTTTGTTAGCTCATGTCGACTGAAGGCATTACTAGTAACTTATACTCGGAATCCCTGAGATCAAGTGGGCGTGGCCGCATGTTTCAACTTAACCTGAAGGTGTCTATGCTTCTGGTGAGATATTTTCATCTTGACACAATTGTTGTCGTGTCTCTGTCCAACAGAACAAGATGACAGTTGTCCCAGACTGGAATATTCCACGAGTAACCAGTTCCGTGCCATGTTCAAATGCCACGCCTACTCTGGCTCAGGGATAAGGAGTGTACTTTGGTTCGATTTCATATAGTATCCTGATGACTATAGTCCTTTTATAAGATTTGCTTTGATTGCTCTAACTAGGTCTAACTTTGGTTTGGGGTGTAGTCTTGGAAAGATGTCAAATGGTACAGATCAGGTACAGAAGTCACTTGAGTCATATGGATTTGTAGGCCTTCGCAAGATAGGCTGTTCAAGGTTCAATATGTACTATTTGGCGCCCTCACTAAACCGGCTTGCGGCCAAAATTTTCGTGCAGTCAACGTACGTTCTTCAATCTACAATTATCAAGTGTAATTATCTCTGCAGGATTCTCTTCATATAACTATACTATAGTTGAGGTAATTTAGCTATTTCCTGCCCTTTCAAGTTTTTTCCTCGGGATAATGGCAAAAACAGTAAACGTGGACTATACGAAGTTCAAAGAGTATATTAAACGACAGCAGCAGAAGTTAATTACATAATAGTTGCGATCCATTCGTGAGCTGTGACCTGTAGAGGTCAGCCAGGGTTCACGCCTGTATGTTGTGGTCCGACCTGTCGTTTTTCTTTTCTTTAGCGACGGCAAAGGTTTAGTAATTTGAGAGAGGCCGATTCCGCTAAAGTTCGTCTCCCCTTCAATTATCATTTGGCCCCTTCAATGCTTTTTGGAAGCCAAAACCTTGTTGGGGGTGTTCAAAGGACTCTTCGTGCAATTTTTTCTAGGCGCTGAAAGCTTGGGCGGGGGCGGGGATTCAGAGGACCACTTGTACAAGGATAGTATTGCTGTCATCTGAATAGAACTGCATGCCATACCTATAGATGGTGTGCCCATCCAGGGCCTCCTCCTCTCGACGTCATCCCCATAGCGGTAATTCCAGTTTTACCAACGAATCCTTCAATTGCACCTTCGAAGGATGTGACGCTG